AGTCATCAGTCGCACTTGGGGTCACTTATTCCCTTGTGCACAGTTTCGCGTCTTCGCCCCAACAATCCTCTTCCCTCCCCTTTCGATCACCTACCAAACGAAACTATCTGTGACATATTCGTTCTTCTTCGCCGCGATCTTTATGCAAACAACACAACCGATTGGATCTCTGTTATTCACGTATGCCACAGATGGCGCGATGTCGCCTTGTCATGCGCTTCATTTTGGGCCAATATCGACTGGACAATGAGACAACCTGCTCGTGAATTCTTCCTCGTAAATGCAAAGGGATATCCTCTCAATGTGATGAAGAGAACGAGAAATTCCTTCTAGATAATTTGGATCGCATCGGCAAACTTCACATTGACTTTCATCCACACGATCAGGCTCACGCTGAATGCTGGATGACGAAGCTACTTTCGCCTACCGATGCCCCTCTGCTTCGGTGTTTGGTGCTTAAGATGGATCCCTCTAACTATGGGTCCATCCCTGTTATTGTCGCTGTCAACGAGACTCTCATTCGCATCAGTTCCTTAACCCTCACCGATGTTCGTCTCTGTTTCCCGATGAACTGTGCCCAGACCCATGTCGAACATTTTTCCTTCACTTCGCCTCAAACCGACCATCGCCAACCAACTCTTGCCGAAACAAAGGCAATGCTAACGATGATAGAGCTCATGCCAAATTTAGTCTCACTCGCCATCTCCGACCATAATATTCTTGCGGACGAAACTCTCGCACTTCCCCTCTCGCTTCCTCGCCTGCAAATGTTATCATTCGATGGACGGTTCTCTGGCTTTGAGTTTCTCTGGAAACACCTTCTTATTATGCCTCATACCCAGCTCAAGCTTCGGTTACGCGTTACTGGGAGTGACAGCGTTCATGACAGTGCTTTCTACACGGCAATTGGGGCACATTTGAAGCGTCGGGGACAGGCTGCACCGCAAGATCATACGTACCGGGTCACGATAGACAACCACGTTTGGTTTGTCCACGGAGACCCACCACTGTTTCAGACTGTCAAAGTCACCGAAATCCCCCATGCACCCACGGCCGCGATCTCTCTGACTCCGATCGACATTGTTCTTGAGTTCGACGACTTTTTTCAGCATGCTGCACAATATTCTCTCCTTCATCTGTGTGATCTGACGGAAGACCACACCAGAATGCGCGTAGAGCACTTGGAGATCACTTCTAACCTTGCTTACGCCAACCTCGGGTCTGCACGCCCCGACGAGTTCAGCCTTCTTGGGTGGCAAGGGTTGAAAACGCTAGTCTTAGGGGATATTTGGTGTACAGGCTGGCTGATGCCTCACCTTCAGCGGCGCCAAGGTTGGCTTTTACCTATTCCCAGTTGCGATTTACTTACATTCATACCACACCAGGTTCCCTTTTCACGGTCTTCCCAGAACTCAAACAGCTGGAACTTCGCGACATTCAACCTGATGGATACGAGATCTTCATGGATTTGTACGAGATGGAGAGGGCGATCAAACGCATCTTCGTGAATCTACGGGCAGGACTAGAGGCAAGAGGACGAAGTGACAGCCAGAAAATGAAAACTCTCGCTATCCATGGTTCCTGCGTGCCCAAAGATTGGATGGTGTCCGAAGTCACCATAGACTGGTGTAACTTGAGCATGATATGGGATGGAGAGGGCTGGGAAGATCATTGGGAGTCACCATTTCACGATTAGAGGTATCTAACCAGTATGCCTCAGACAATTTATGAAAATGATACTATTTTTTTTCGTGTAGGACTTACCGTTGCAGTAAACAAAGTTCAACGACGCTACCGCTGGACACGTCGGATATTTTCTCGTCTGCTATTGTACCGTCTGTATTATAGCTCAGTTAGTATACATTAGGCTGGGTGAACGGAGAGTAGGTCCTTGTCTGCTGTTCCATAAATTCCAGGGGAACATTTGTGGCGTTCGCTAGGTGGCGTGTGGCTGTGTGTCGTGTGAAACAAGTTCGACGTTGACGACACTCCGTTTCCTATCCGTTTCCTTTCCCCCATCCACCGTATGCCCTCTCACCACCGACACTCACAGAGGTGAGCTCTTGAGTGTCGGTGGAGCCAACATCGGTCTGTGCCGTCGATAGGACGTAATCTTTCGTCACACTCGTTCCCTCGACTCATCGTGTTCGTTACCGACGGGCGACAGCTTGGGCCCGGGTCTCATTGTGCAGAGAAAGAGCGTGCGCCTAGCTTGGTGTGCACATGCCTCCTTGCTGGCCGCTTTACTCGGCAGTGAGACCTGCTACAATGCTTTTCGTGACCAGGGCGGCCAAGTTGCGGCAGGGATGGAAGAACGTCGCCTACGTGTATGTATTCATTTTATGTTCCCCCAAACTACAGACCCTTCATTTGCTGATTTACTCCCAGAGCCGTCGACCTTGCGTTTTTGTGCCACCGATTCTGTATTTCTCGGGGATCGCGGTGCATCGTCGCCGGCCTTGATCTGGAGTCCTAGCCTCATCATCTGTCTGGGTATCGTCTTTGTTCCCCACGAGACCCGAAGGACCGTCCTCATTTGTTCACGATGATGTGGTAGGTGACAGTGTGAGGAATGCATATAAGTGTTCCTGGCTGACTTGAGTTCTTCCTTTGGCTATAGCGATCCGTTGGCTTCACCGAAACTGACTGGGGAGTGCTCTCGGCTGCCAGCCCGAAGCATTCCTCGTTGCAGCCGTTATATGGCTAGATTGGGCCGTTCTTCACTTGTGACGGTGCGTCGAATCTCAATAGCAGATATCCAGGTTATAGTTTTTGATACTTTTTTGTACAGCCCCTTGTTCTAGCTTCCACTTCGAGCCTAACTCACTGGGACTACACGTCAATCGCTCCCGTCCACTAGGATATTTCAAATCATCGACATGTCTAGAGGCCAAGCTCTCGTCAATGGACCGCTCTTTGCCGTCCCGAGTGCCATCTGCTCCAACATCAGTCGGAAACTCGCTTCCGGCAATGTATACGTGGGGACTCAATTGCCCACCCAGCCTACGTATCTTCCGCAGGGCCGTATCGGAAACTAACAAGCTAGTTGTGGGGACGATGAACCACATGACGAATCTTTACAGCAGCGGCCGGTAGTGGAAGATCTATCGAGAGGGTGGCGCGTGCCACATTTTTGAACCGGACACCTCACCTGGGACAAAGTACGTCTA